TTCAGGTGTGTCATCCCTGACTGCCTTACTTCAGTGGCCAGGTGGGTGGCTGCCGTTAGCAGTGCGGTGACCTGGTGTGGCTGCAGGTCTTCCCTTTGCTCTTCCAGGTTCTCTCTAAACTTGTTCCAGCTTATGGTTTGAGTGGGACGTTTGGGTTTGAGGTTGTTGCTTCCGATTGCCGCATCAATAATTATCGGGAAGTGATCACTACCCCACGCATCCCGCATCGTGTCCCAGCTGAGCTTGCGGGCTGTGAGCCTGTGACTGGAGTTGCTAAAGTGAGTCGATGATGGAGTCAGTTTGATTGCTTGCTGTAGCATGCCTCGTTGGTTTGGTAGTGTCGTTTAGCAGTTCGAGTTCATTGTGCTCTATGATTTCAAAGAGTCTTCTGGTTTTCTGGTTAAGCTGGTTATTGTTCTAGTCTTCGAGTTTCGTGTTACAGTCTCCACCCAGAATGAGGTAGTCATCCGGGTATTCATTCTTTAAGTGGGTGATCCATTGAAAGTTCCATTGACTGCCAGGGCATGTATATACTGAGGCTACAACGAGTCGTCTCTTGGTTGCATGGAGAGCAATTCTCACTGCAGTAATCTCTTGGGAGTCTAAACACCACTGGGATGTATCCAGCTGAATGCATGGCAGGTTCTTGCTTACCAACAGGTTGACTTGTGCCCTGACTTCCCATTCCCCAGGTCTGATATGTGCAGTTGCGAGATTCTTTTGTTTAATGGAGGGATTTGAGAATTTCAAGTACCCTGATAGTTCGATGTCATTTGTTCTAGTTTCTGTAGCAGGAGGATATCAAACTTGTAATCTTTGATGTACACGAGTAGTTCGGACTTGCGTCGTGGGAGGCTGCGACAATTCCATTGCAGGATTTGCAACGAGCCCGTCCGATCGTGGTTAGCAGACATGTTCGGGCATAGCCTGGCTTGTCGTAGGTGCTGGTCCAAGCTTCTGGAGGATTGTTTGCTGGAATTGCTGCATTTGTTGTGTTTGTTGCATTTGTTGCTGCATCTGTTGTTGCGTTTGCTGCATTTGTTGTTTCATCTGTTGTTGGATCTGTTGTTGAAACTGGAGGAACATCTGTTGCCAGTTTATCTGATTCGTTGGTGCCGCTTGCTTTGGTGGAGTGGGCTCCCTGGTGGAGATTACTCGCTGTTCCTGCGAAGCTTCTCGAATCTCGACGGGTTTGCTCACTTCTTGCTGATTCGCATCTTGGATTGCCTTGCGGGTTTCCATTGCTTCCTTGAGACGCCTGGCGATAGCTGCCTTGCGGGCTTCTCGTTTTTTGTTTGTCCTCTTCGATCTTCCTCTCAAATTTAAGGATATCTGCTTTCATTTGTTTCAGGATTGCTGTGTCTGATTTGTCTTCGGCTTCCATGGCGTGTACAGGGGGAATAGCGCTTTGTTCCCCCGAACCTCTGTGTTAACAAGTTCCATGGCGTGTAGTTCCTTCTGCCAGGCCTTGATTTCTGCTTCGTCGTTAGCGTAGTAACCCTTGTTTCCATCTCAGCGGGCCATGTGTGCGTAGCTGGGGCCTCGATGGTTGTTGCGTCGTAGAGATGATGAACGGTGACGAGAATTGGTTCCTTCAAGTTTTTGGCGCGACTGGCCTCTAGACTTTTCTTCAGCGGTGCGTGCTCCGTGGTAGGCGTCGTTCTTAGTTCTCTCATTGTTTGAGAGAATTCCTGGTTGTTTCAGTGTCGGGTAGTCTTCCAGCGTTACCCTCGGCGGTTTCTGCGTGTTTGAGGTGCTTCCTCCTTTTCCCTTGCTTCCCCTGGCTCCTCCTCCTTGTGCTCTCGCTAGAAGTATCAAATTGACACCCTGGCGTGTGGGGAAGTTGGGTCTGCGGCCAAGTGGGTTGATGCTTTGCAGTTGGTGCAATATTGCCGTTCGCACACGTGTCCTTCTAGGAAGAGACGACCGCAATCCCTGCGTCGGGGTTTGCGCGTGCATACGTTTTCCTTGTATCCGAGGCCTTGACACCTCTGGCACATCATGGTTGTTGGTTTGTAGAGTGTGACTCGTATGTTTAGGCTATGATAGACAATGCTTCTCGGTGGTCTTTGCCCACGAACGTGACAAGGGCGAGGCCTCGACCGCCGAGAGGCCTAGCATGTATGATTTCGTGGGGTCGGCTTGAAAGAGCTTCTTCTAGCTGTTTCGATGTCTCTTGCGGGTCTATTCCGTGTGCTACTCATCTGCACGTGTCCCTTGGTGGTGTTTCGTGTCCGACGACCTCAACTGCTTTCTCAGGCGCTTTGATCGACGTTACCTTGAGCAGTAGTGCAACGTGTTTTCGGTCTCGTACCGTTACGGTAATTGTGTTGGCTGCCTTGTTCACGCGAAATGTCGGTAGCTCTGTTTTCTGGCATGCGGCCAGGTTTAGGCCTAGTTTCGTTAGAAAGTTTCTTTGTAGAGATGCTGCTGGAATGCTTGCGAGATTGTACGGTTCCTTCGAGTGGAAGACGACATTGAAGCGTTCCTCTGGTTGGTCGCTGTTTGGGTCCATAGCCGCGGCAGCAAGAAAATTGGAAAGAATCGTACTTGCCCTTTGCTTCTTTTTTTCCATAATGGACTTCTTGCCACGTCTGCTCACAGTCATCGTTCGTATCTTCTGGTCCATTGCTCGTTTCGTAGGTGTCCATATTGGTTCCAGCTTGGAGCTCCGACAAGTCAGACAGGTTTGAGCATGTACTGGTTCCGCTGGGTTTTCTCGATCTCTTGCTAGAGACATTGTCATTTTCATTCAGTGAAGCAACGTCGGTGGCAGCGCGTCGCCGGGTAGGTTTGGCGATAGGGTGTCGTGGAGTAGCCGGATTCATGTACCGGTGCTTAGCGAAAATACTCGCCCCAACGTTAGAGTTGGATTCAGAGAGGGTCTGGGTGATTACATGCAGTTCCCTGCTGGGCTTCGGAGGTTGCGATAGCGGGCTGGGTTGGTACCAAAGCCGTGGGGGTTGGCGACGCCATGCCACGCTAAGCCCAACGTTGGGCTTACCGTTCGGCTGGCCTGTCGTTCTCAGATTTGAAGATTTTCGAAGAAAATTGGATTTCTTCGCAAGAAAACTCACTTGGCGTATTCCCGTGATGTTCCGGAAAGTCAAGGAGCCATTTTCACATCACAAATGACTCCCAGAATCGGTGCATTGAAGCTTATTGAGTGGAGCTCGAAGAAAAAAATCTCTTCTACTGACATGAATGAAAACGGCACCCATGCAAGAAGGAGCCGAGTAGCTCAGAGAAGCGCGTAGCATGCGTACGCACGCGACGCACGCGCTAGCGCCACGCCAGTCACGCCCGCAATAATAACGTCACGTGACATAAAGACATGTATCTATTTGTATCGATACTATTTTCATAGCTCATGACTTTTGCTGGGCCGCTCCTGTTGCAAATAAACAGATTTCGCTACAAAAATGCTTAGTCATGTGACCTTTTTTTTTTGTAAGGCTACATTACAATCAGACTAGCTAGTTTTTATTTTTATTGATTTTTAAAGATACATTATGTAATAATGATTTCTATTCCCAATTTATAATTAACAAAATGGCGTCACTTCCGTTACTCACTTCCGGCGTCTCGTGTTTAGCGCGTTCTTGTACGTACTGTTGCAGTCGACCACGCAGCCATTACTGTGGCTTTTTTTTGATGCGGAATAGCAATCTCAGAAATTACAGCGCTAACCTGCTACAACGCACAATCAACGCAGCGACCACACCACAGAAGCTTCCGAGTTTGGGGATGAAACGGACGCGTGGGCGGAGAGAAATAAACAAACTGAACTGAAACGGACCCGTTGGCCGCTAGGGGCACCTTGGTCGTGGCTTGAATTAGGTCCCGATACATGCATGTGAGAAAAAAAATAAGATGTCCTATTTGAACCCGAGACCCAGTAGAAATAAAATGACTGACGCACACACACACAGGCACATTCTCAAGTGTAGGGTATGGAAGTCATTCACCAGCTTGCCTGCGTGTTCACCCTTTTATCATAAAATAAAACCTGCTTGTCGCATACTCATAACAAGCATTCACCTCCTTATTTGTGGCATTCTATAGCAGATTTGCTAACAGCGCTGTTGCAAGAAAGCTGGTCAAATGCAACGTATAATTTTCAAAAAAAAAAAATAGTGATTACACTTTTGGCTGTTGTGGTTCGTTATTTGAGGCCATTATTACCAGGTACTTTTCACGCTTGTCTGTCACAGACATGTCACCGCATATTTCGTATACTCTACGCACGAATACGCAATAATGTTTCGTAACATTCTTACCGGAAGCGGTAGTTTCGTTTATGTCCGCAAAGAGAATCAGGTCGTCACTTCGCTCCCGATAGAGTTAACAAATCACAAGTTATGACGTTGCTTCCAATAGAAGTTAAATAGAATAAACGTAGAGGTTTAACTAGGACTGATTGCTTGTACAGATGATCAAGGCCAACTTTCCAGATTGCAGTATACCTTCCAGGCGCTCCAAAATCCGCGTATAGCGCGGTCCTGTGAAAAATGATCGTTCTTTTTTTTCTTTTTTTTTTTGTGGCGGTATTTGTTTATTTGGAGCACTAACCTAAAAACTAAAATATGATGACCGCCATTACCCTCTCAAAATAAAATGTGAAGAAAATAAAAAGACGCCGATGTCGTGTTCCTGCTAATGGTGTCGCGCTGTGCGAGTTCTATTCTAACGGAACCGTTGCATGAGGAGTCAAGGGACGGGTGGTATTTCTCGACCTTGCCTTCCTTCCAAACTTCTCCGCGCGGACTTGCTCCCCGAGTGGGGTGATATAAATAAGCACACGAGACACCGCCGACTCGTCAAGAATGAAGAAGCTCAAGGCCGTGGCGGAGGGAACCACGATCTTTTTGTGTTTGTCTTCCGCGCGTGGTTTCACATGTCCTCTCTTGCCGTTTGTGTATGTGTGTCTGTGCGCATGTGTGTATGTATGTGTGTGTTTGTGTGTGTGACCACGTGGCTCTTGATGTGGGTAGAGCTATAAGACAGTGGCGCCTCTGCGGTGACCCGATAAACAAGGTGCAAAGGAAGTGGCACGGCACGATATTCACTCGTTGGCAGGATTGCACAGTGAGTCCGTGTCTTCCCTTTGTCTCTAGCCTTGTTTTTTTCTCGCTTGGTTTCACTTTCATTTTGTTAATTTGAGCGTGCTGTGTTTTATTGTTACGTGGGGTATAGTGAATGGGGTGGGATATAATTTTTAGAGAAGTTCAGTAACCAATTTTGTATAGTACAAAGAAAGACATGCGTCTATACGACAAGTACAGGTGCAAAATTTCTCGATCAGCTTCTAAGAGTCCTTCTGGTAAAGCAAATCGCCGATAAATACCGATCTTATAGCTAAGTGGATAATATACAACCGTCTGCATGAATGGCACGCCCGACATATATCACTATCTAGTGCGTGCAGGGCATCCGTGTACATTTCACTCAACTGTAATCAGTATTTATTTATCGTCGATATGTTTTATTGCGTTCCAGTATTTTGATCGCTAAAACAGGTGATAACTAAAAAAAAGAAAGAAAAAAAGAAAGCCGTTTACAACTCCCTCTAATGCCGAATTAGAGCGCAGCTCTTGAGGAGGAGGAGGGCAGGGTATGCCCCTCCTCATCCGTACCCTCCCCTCCTTTCATCCTCCTCCTCTCTTGAGGTATTTCGATTTTGCGATATACCGTACTAAACAATCTTAAAAAGATATATATATATATATACTTTTTTTTATTCTTACACTTTTGTTTAAAAAAACCGTGAACGATAACTAATGCGGGTTTGTGCAGGTGGGCTACACGACCAGGCGGACATTGTGTGGGTGGCTAATCTTTGGGACAAGTGAGCTAATTAACTAAATTCGTTAATTAACTTTTTAATTAGTGGAAATAGACGAATGGCTCCAATCAGAAACTTGCTGAGCGTCATCCAAAACCCCTAAATCAGTAATTTTTAGAAAGACTTTGAGCGCCTGAGAAGCGCAACAGTGCGCTGAAGTTACCACTCATCATTCGCCGAGTTCCTTCCGTAGCTAGACCTCAGTGATTGGGTCACCGAGCGGATTGTGGCTATACTTGGAGTGCAGGATGCAAGAATTACTGACAGCATAGGGGCGTGGCCTCTTGTGTTCACGTTTCTTGCCTCGTAATTGGTTCTTCAGCGCTCTGATCAACGAATGACGCATTTTCATTGGCTTCAGAGCGATAATAAGCTGTACGCAACCCACCCCGTCCGTCGTTTTTTAAACATCATTCTCTCTCTCTTACTCCCTCTTTCTCTCTCCTTCTGAGCCCGAGATTGACGTTCCGAGAAACTCGTCCCTACTTTTATCACGAAATGTTTTATACACCCTAAAAAAAAAAAAAAAATCTGGTCGTAAAAGAACTCTTATCGGTTCTTCTGCTTTTCTACGAAAAACCCCCTAAAGGGGTTCTTCTTAGAAAAGGAACCTATAAGGGGTCGTCTAAGCTCCTTCATTGATGCGAAAGAATTTTTCATCATCCAGTTGCCACTCTAGTGCGCCATGTGGCGGTATTGCTTGAGGCGAAACCGTTCTTGACGAGCCGGGAGGGTTCTTGGGGCGTTGAAAAACCTTTGAAGAACGGATTTTTTTTTTTTAATTTGTACTGTCTGTAAATTCTGCATGCAGTTGCAGTTAGACTATGCGACAGGCCTCCCTGAATCTGGGATACCGACGCAAGACCCCATTCACACGGTCAACATAAAGCCACCTTTAACATAGGTCCCTTTGCTATCGGCGAATCAGCCCGTGCTCTTGGGTCGCGAGCACACGCCACGCGCGGAAGATGGTTAATCGATTGGCCGTAGAGAATAAAGGTCCCTTAGCTAAAGGTACCTTTACGGTCGTGTGAATGGAGTATTAGCACCTTCAGCAGGGCGACTGGCAAACTGTTACGAGCGGTGAAAGCTACTCGCCAGAGCTACATGCGCGATTTTTTTTAACTGCACAGCTGTGCCCCGTACGGCCACTCGATCCCCTCCCCTATAGGAGCCGTGTTTGTGCAGAGTCAGACTACAATTGACATAGAGGCTTATTTGGGGTGAACGCAAGTCTACATGCACATTTCTATCATTCGCTTAACTTTGCTTTAAATGCTGACGTCTCAACGGGATTAAAAGGGAACTCCGGCTATTTTTCTCATAGTTTTCGATTCGGCTAGATATTGGCAGCCAGCATCATAACACCTTCACAACTGATAGCCGAAATATTTTATAAAAATAAAATGTTTTCTTGAAGTGATTAAATTTTCAAGTTACGCCAGCCGCGAGTGTTCATGGAGGCGACTCTCTATGGCAGCAAGAAAAAATCCCTACTTTTCCCTACTCAAGTACGTCACACACCGGCGGGCAGGCGGACGAGTGACCCGGGCAGCCCCCAAGCGGCTCTCCGGGCACCAGCGACCGAGATTATTTGTTCACAGCTTCAAGGTTGAAAGTTCCTTTGCACTGGGCAGCAATTTCTGCTGCGTGATAGTTTGTAGGAACAGTGCCGGGAAAAGCTAATTTTTACCCTCGATTTTGTGGAGAGAAAAAAAGCGCGCTCCCCGGGCAGCAACGGAGTCCAGCCACGTCAAGGTGCTTTTGCGCGGGCTGTGTGCCGAGAGAACTAGTGTCACATGAATGATACTCGCTTATGCTCAGAATAGTTTCTATAGCTATGGGCTTGAGCACGGGGCTACGTACTTCATAGCCCCGTGCTGCGAGGTGAGTATCCTTCTGCGGCTGGAACGTCTTGGAGAGCGGCAAACGCTGACTCAAGCTGGCTGGGACCACTACAACATCCGCCCAAAGAGGAGCGCTAACAATATCGAGAAAAATAGGGCACATTCTGGCACTATAGTCGACATTTGGTGCAATCACATTTGTTGGTCACAATTGCTTCGGTGAGATTTTATATATATATATATATATAGGCAAAGAGAGAGAAAAAAAACAAAAAAACGTAGCGCTGGATGACGAAAAGTAAAAAAGGTCTGTCTCAGTCCCAAACGTCGACGAACTTTACGAATAATATGTTTTAAAAACTCCAACAACCGTCTCAAGTGCGTTTTCTTTCTTTCTTTCTTCCTCTCTCTCTCTCTCTCTCTCTCTCTATATATATATATATATATATATATATAAGGGGGGAGGGTGTAGCCCTTACACCCCCTGTCACATATACGACACCCCAAAACTTCAGTTGGACGTACAGCGGACTGACGTTGAACCGACGCTACCAACTCTCCCGAGCGGCTTGATAACCGAGTTGTGCAACTTTCTAAAATAGCTAAAGTAAGTGTGCCTAGACTTGAGAGTGTTTCCAACTACTCGATTTGGGTCACGCGGTTTACGAACCTCGTTTGCGATACAAGGCGCGACGAGGAGGCGCGAATGTCGATCGTCCGCAAGCGTCCGCGCCTCTGCTTCGTCTCTCTGCCCCCGCTGCCCTCCTTGAAATGACGACAGCCCACACATGCACCAAACCCGCGCTGAAGTCGCCCGCCATCAAACTGGAAGTACTCTGCACGGTTTGAGATACTCCCTTCTTAAATTTCTCTTTATGTCGTCTCGCTTCCTGCAGAGCCCCTGACTTCCCCAGCAGGAGCCATATGGCCCCGACACTCGGCTACTGGAATGTACGGGGTCTTGCCCAGCCGATCCGCAACCTGCTCATCTACAAGGGCGTCAACTTCGAGGACAAGCGGTACACGTTCGGCCCGCCGCCCAACTTCGACCGCTTCGACTGGCACGGCGAGAAGCACTCCCTGGGTCTCAAGTTCCCCAACCTGCCCTATTACATCGACGGTAACGTCAGGCTGACGCAGAGTATTGCCATCCTCCGCTACCTGGCCAGGAGGCACGACCTAGCCGCCAAGTGAGTATAGTGTATACGCTCTAAAGCCGGGGTCACAATGCTTATACACATCGTACAAAAGACACTCGGCATATTCAGACTGGAACGCAAGTAACCGCGAGATCCGTGCTTTCATAGCCTCTCTATACTCAAAAAGCCTGGCAGTTCGACGACGGAGCCATAGAGTGCCCCGTCGCAGATTTGGAGCGCGAGGATCTGGTGGCACAGAGCACCAAAGAGCCATTTCTCAGGGAACCTGGATGTCAGCGCACAGATTTTGCAGCGTGGCCGCACCGGGGCGCCAGTCACACGACTCCCCTCTCATCCGTTGTCTGCCGCTCACCTTTTCCATTTCGATGGCCGCTTATCGTGGCGATCTGCCAGGCTTTGTCAGTAATCTAACCCGTCGTAATCACGACGGGGACAATGTCCGTTGTGCTGTTCGTCGCAATTGCTTCGCAATGATTCTACGCCGGCTATCGAAGAAGCTTTCCGGATTCGCAACCGTCCTAAACTCGGTCGTAATCACGACGTGGACACTGTCCGCATACATGTGCTGTTCGTCGCCATTGCTTCCCGCTGATTCTGCGCCGGCTACCGCTAGGTGGCGGCGAACCATAGGCGATCGCCACGACGCGGCCGGCTCGCCCGCTTCCTATAAACTGCGATAAACTCCGAATTCTCGACAAATAAAAAAACTGCGAAAAACACCCTTCGAATTGGACGAAATATCAACTCCGAAAACATGGAATCCAAAGTATGAGAAAGGGTATATTCAGACAGAGGTCTCAAAGCTTTAAAAAATATATATATATATATATATTTAAGAAACCCCGTTAAGGTGAAGTAAGTAATAAACTTAGTAAAAAAGAATGTAAGCTAAATTATTTAAAAAGGTAAGTAAAAACTAGAAATAAAAATGCAAGAAATACAAAATACAAGAATTACGCCCTCTTACGGTCGATCTGAAAATGCTGCTAAGTGGTGTGCACAAACAAGTTGGCAAGTCCATAACTGATATAGTACTCACTTCCAAGACACCATACAATTGATGATCTTGCCAATTGTATGGCGTCTTTTGCTCACGCCACTGCTCAGTGTTTCAAGTTCGACCGTAAGAGAGCGTAATTTTTTAGGGGGTCTATTTCATTTCGTTTCGCAGAACAGATGCAGAGACTGCCGAGTTGGACATGCTGGAACAGCAGGCTAAGGACCTCTCCTGGGGCCTCGCTATGACGGCGCTGAACCCGGCCTTCCACGAAATACGCAAGAAGTACGAAGACAGCATGGCGAACCTGCTCAAACCGTGGGCGGATCACCTGCAAGGAAAGACTTGGGTGCTGGGCGATCGTCTCACCTACGTCGACTTCCTCCTCTACGAAGCCCTGGACTGGAACTGCCTGTTCAAAGCCGAGGCATTCTCCGCCTTTCCGGTGCTGCTTGACTACCTAAGGAGGTTCGAAGAACTGCCCAACATCAAGGAGCACATGGCGTCGTACAACTACAGCAAGTGGCCGCTCATGGGTCCCATGGTCAAGTGGGGACACAAGAAGGAATGACCGTTGCTTGAACTCTCGTTGTTCGTTTTCGTGTGCAGCAAGTAATAAATGTACAAAAACGATCTTCGCAAACAACAAAGCATGGAAGGATCGATAGAGAAATGATCATGACATGGGCGTTAAGCCTCGTTTACATTTGCGGAAAGCTGGACGCTCCGTCCACATTTGTTGCCGCCGGTCTCGTCATTGTGGCTCCGCACTCCTTGAAAAAAAACAAAAAAAAGCCTCCATAAAGGGAGGAGCGCTCTTGACAAGTATGTTCCTTCAGAAAGGGAGAAATATCCGTTCCTGAAAGCAGAGAAGCAAGGTTCCTCCGCCGTCTGCTTCTCATCGTGGCGGCCCCGAATCGAGCCACTCCAGCTCAATAACTTATAAGGCTTAACGAGGACGCTACGTCTGTTGTACGGGGCGAGAGGAGCAACAAATAAAAGCGTAACGCGAGCTTTCCGCAAACTGCATTTACTTCCTAAGCTATAGCTTTCCCGCAGGTAAAGCAACTTGCGTTTTGAAAGTAGTCACCCAATCTTCTCGTCGCCAGCACTGCCATGTTAAACAGAGACAACTGACACCTAGTTACTTCGCGCACTTTACGTGTTACCTTTGCTCTTCCTCGAGCCACAATGCCCCAATTCCTTCGTCAGCACCAGTGTTGTGCCCGTTACCGAAAATAAGTAGCGAGATAGCGTTACTCGTTTGCTTGGAAAAAAGCGAACGCGTTACAGAGCTCCGTTACCATTTTGCAAATGTAACGAAATACTAGTGTCGTTACTTGCCATGATTAACGAACGCTACTTTTACGTTAGTTTGTCGTTACTTTGTATTTCAATGTTGGTATATGACAGCTGTTGGTATATGACTGTAGCGCCTCAACCACAAATGACTTCACAATATTGTCGAACCGTTCTTGAGAAACGAGAGCTTGATGGATACAGTCGATCTTCATCTGCTTCAGCAAGTGCGTTTTGGGACAGTGGGTTTTAGTCTCGGTCTTTCGTTTCTTTGAAAGCACCTCAAACTCGGATAGCTTCTGCAAACAAAAAAACTGGCTAAAAAAAAAAAAATAGGACTGATGCGAAGCACCGTTGTTAATTTATAGTTATCAGTGGTCTGGTACAACGAAATATTAACTAAATAAACAGCATCATGAATTAGTATAGTAAAAACTGTCTAAGTAAATCGCAAACTTAAGCAAATATCAAATAGGCGTGTTTGTATATAACTGCCACGATTGATTTACCCTTCTTCTGAATATAAAAGCAAACTAAATTAAACCGTTTTCGAAAAGTTTTCGCTGGCTTATATTAATGAGCATTTTGAGATGTAGCTGAAAACCTCTGCGACTAACAAAACGATCACGAAAGAAAGTTGCGTTCGTTTGGCTAACAAAACTTAACCACGGCATTTTAACAAAAACAAAAGCTAAGTGACATGGAAAAATAACTTACCTTAATGTGCTTTTTCATATCATAGTTCGATGTCCCGGGTGTGCTCAGCAGCTTGAGTTTTGGCATACAGAGTAGACATATTAACAGCAAATTGTCGGACTTATTTTACCTCAGTTCAAACATAGCACTTAGCCCGGGCCATGGTAACGGAGTTTCGGTGGCCGTTGCCATCTCTCACGAAAGTGAGTGCGAGATAGCAGTAAAATGAACTTTTATAACAAGCGTTCCAAAATGGCTTTGTTGGTTAGAGGCAGACTTTGCATGACAGAGACCACCTGTACGGTACGCGTACTGCTCACAAAAGGCACACCTCATAACCACGTCTGTTTTAGTTACTGTCGGCTTTTTACACAAGCAACAAAAATAGGACACTGATTGCTTATAATAACCAATAATTATAACCAAAGAAAGTAAGGGCGAAGCAGACGAAAGCCATATCACTATCACTGCTACGAATATGTCCCTGCTAGAAGAATGGTACAGTAACCTTCACGCACAACCAGGAACTGCGAGAAAGAAAAGGCGGGCGCAGCGTCCAACAATAGATAATTCGGTATTTGAATGCCAGGGAGTTGGGGGCATGCTTTTTTGTGGAAGACTACGGTATTTACGTATGACGAACTGCGATACAAAGAGGGTGCCGTCCGTGGTGGTGACGCAGTCTTTTGTCTAATCTTTTAGGCGCTATAGAAGAAAGGATGCCCAGAAGATTTAGTGGGAGGCGACCTTTTGAACGGGAGTCGTTTTCCAGCGAGAGGCCGCACCTTTGTACCACGGCGGCAGGGATTCTAAAATATAGTGACATCTTTCTGGTAACGATCGCCGTTTAGTGCTGCGATAACCTCGCCACGTGTTTTGTTTCAAAGCGTGGGAACGTCAACGCTTTCAAACTTGGAGTTTATCCTTTCTGTTGTTGACAGAACGAGAATTTATTTGTTCTGAAGAAAGAGGTGTGACCAGCTAGAGTAGCGAGGGACGCTGAAGTAAAATCCTTCGAGCGGCGGCGGACTGTCGCCTTCTGAACGGATGTCTCTTTCCAGCGAGACGGTTGCTCAGGGTACTGCGACGGCGATCCTAGCAGCTTCCCATACAAAGACTGCACCAATGACGCTTAGGAGTTCCGCGCAGCGATAATCTCACGCCTTTTGGGCCCGGCCGTGGGAACGTTAAAAGTTGCTTCCTAAGGAGTTTGAAATGACGTTGCTTATACATAGCTTTGTTGGGGTTTCTTTGCCACTTTTACATTGTAAAAAAATATAAAAAAAAGTTTGTTTTCAAACAATCATGCGGCCATGTTTAATTAAAAGTAACGCGTACAGGGGTAACGTAATTCGGTAGGAGATACCGTGAAATAGTAACAGCATTACTTTAGTAGTTAGTCATTTGGGATTCTAACGTTAGTAAACAAAATAACGCGCATTCCGCTGAACTGCATCCCGCAGTCCAGCGGAATGCGCGCTCCGGGATGTAACGCTGTCATCTTGCTCGTTTAGGCTGCGTCGTTGCCCCCCCCCCCCCCCCAAGAGCTCCCTGTAATCTGCAATCCGCACAGTCAGCGGAAAGCAGCGAGGTCGCAAGGCGGCGGTACCAAGATCAAGATCATCGGTGAAGGCAACGGCGCATGCCCGTGGACCGAAGATCGACCACGAAGGACACAAAAGGCAGCTGCTGCTATTCAACAGTGCAGTCCAGCGGAATGCGCGCGCTCCGGGATGTAACGCTGTCACCTTGCTCTCTTAGGCTGCGTCGTTGCCCCCAAGAGCTACCTGTAATCTGCAATCCGCACAGTCAGCGGAAAGCAGCGAGGTCGCAAGTCGGCGGTACCAAGATCAAGATCATCGGGAAAGGAAACGGCGCATGCCCGTGGACCGAAGATCGACCACGAAGGACACAAAAGGCAGCTGCTGCTGTTCAACAGTGCAGTCCAGCGGAATGCGCGCTCCGGGATGTAACGCTGTCACCTTGCTCTTTTAAGTAAGAATATAATTATCTTATACTGGTGAGCAGTTGTCTTCATTCCGCTGAACTGCACTGTGTGTGACATGGCGAGTAAGAGCGATTGTCTAGTTTGCTTTAAGGGCGTGTCGACGGTCACTGCCTTTTTGAAATGTGCCGAATGCTCGAACCTTTACCACATCGGAAAGTGTTCCGGCGTTGCAAAAAAAAAAAAAAAAGCTCACAAGGACATGCCGGCTGGGGCCCTGAGCGCCTAGATTTGTACCGCATGCAGAGTCAACCGACAAAGACTCTCGGGTGAAACTAGGGAGGATGTGTGTAGTGCAGGTAAGGAAACCATTGGCGGTTCTGGCGGGCAGGGCCTAGAGGCTTTAGTGGCACAAATTACGGAAGTAAATGCAAAACTGATGACAGTCCTTAACCGGATAGAAAAAATTGAGAAAGCTTTAGATGGTGCAGGGTGCAAAGCATGACAGCATTCTCACGAAGCTAGAAGTGGACGAGGAAAAGGTGAATGGAATGGAGACTGCTCTCGCTGCACTTAATGCACAGTATGAAGAAATAGTCAAGAACTCACAAAATCAGTGCAAACTTATTGAGGAACTAACTAAAAAAACAAACCATCTAGAGGCACTAATCGTTGAAAGAGATGCGCAAATTCTAAGTCTTAAGACAGCTGTGGATAACGCAGAACAGTATTCGCGACGTAAAAACATCGAAATACACGGCGTGAAAGAGTTCGAAAACGAAAATCTTTTGACCATAGTAATTGATCTTGCCAGTAAGCTTCAACTGCCACCCCCATCAAGTCAAAGCATTGAAACAGCGCATAGGATGAGAGCCAGAGAAGGAAGGACGGCTCCCATTCTTCTAAGATTTACGGAGAGAAGCACAAGAGACATGTGGATCAAGAAACGAGTTTCGTTGAAGAGCGAAGGAATATATGTGAATGAAAACTTGACTAGGACGTTAAAAAATCTATTCTGGAACACAAAAAAAACGGCGAGAGAAAAGAATTACAAATTTGTTTGGGTGCGCAATGGAAAAATATTTGTCAAAGAAAAAGATGGCAGTCCCCTTCTCCAGGGATTATTTTCGTCATCTTGTCCAGCTCGCTTGCACCTTTGCATTTAATTGCATTATAATATGGCAGTACTGTCATCCGAATCGAAAACGAGAATGACTTCCAAAAGATAAGATAAATGGAAGGGAAGTTTCAAACTTTTCAAGAGTGGGACGAGTTCGTTCAGTCCGCCCTTCACGATAAAAAAAGTGACATCTCCTTAAGCGTGTTGCATGTTAATGTTCGAAGTTTAAGGAAGCATTGGGAGGAACTTAATGTTTATTTAGCTGATAGACTACCTTTACTGGGCGTAATCATTCTTACAGAAGTAAATGTCGACGACCAAACTTGCAACATGTACAGCTTAAAAGGATTTCATCGATATCAACTCTGTAGACAAGGACGTAAAGGAGGAGGTATTTTAATGTTCATAAATAACAATTATATAACCAATCAAATTAATGTATCACTTACACACGCAGAGGTATTACTAGTAAAAATAAATAACGAGGTTACTTTATTAACAGTCTGTGCAATTTATCGACCTCCAGATTTAAATATAGGATTATTCATTGCTGAATTATTGGATTTGATAAGTA